GAAAAAAAGCTGTCCAAACCTACCTGGCCCTATGTGAAAAAGTAATCATGAAAGAACTGCAATTAACCACATTATTTTAGGAAGCTGAGTTAAATTTGACTAGCCACACCCAGGCCTGATTACTGCCAGACCTGTTGAATCAAGAAATCACTTAAATAGAACCTGTCTGACCAAGTGAAGCATGCTTATATTTGGGACTCCAGCGAACCACGGTCAGAGCCATTATCCACAAATGGAGAAAACTTGAAACAGTGGTGAACCTTCCCAGGAGTGGCCGGCCTACCAAAATTACTCCAAGAGCGCAACAACGACTCATCCAGGAGGTCCTAAAAGAACCCAGAACAACATCTAAAGAACTGCAGGCCTCACTTGCCTCAATTAAGGACAGTGTTCATGATTCAACAAGAAAGAGACTTGGCAAAAACGGCATCCATGGGAGAGTTACAAGGCAAAAGTCATTGCTAACCAAAAAGAACACAAAGGCTTGTCTCACATTTGGCAAAAAATATATTGATTATCCCCAAGAATTTTGGGCAAATATTCTGTGGACTGATGCGACAAAAGTTTTGGAAGGTGTGTGTCCAGTTACATCTGGCGTAAAACCAACACAGCATTTTATAAAAAGAACATCATACCAACAGTCAAACATGGTGGTGGTAGTGTGATGATCTGGGGCTGCTTTGCAGCTTCAGGACCTGGACAACTTGCCATAACTGATGGAACCATGAATTCTGCACTCTATCAGAAAATCCTGAAGGAGAATGTCCGGCTGTCACTTTGTGACCTCGAGCGCACTTGGGTTATGCAGCAGGAAAATGATCCCAAACACACCAGCAAGTCCACCTCTGAATGGCTCAAGAAAAACTAAATAAAGGTTTTGGAGTGGCTAAGTCAAAGTCTGGGCTTATATCCGATTGAGATGCTGTGGCATGACCTTAAACAGTCCATTCATGCTGGAAAACCCGCCAATGTGGCTGAATTAAAACAATTCTGCAAAGAAGAGTGGGACAAAATTCCTCCACAGCGATGCGGCAAATAAATACAAAATGCAGTTTTTAAATGATGATTTCATTTATTAAGGGAAAAAAGCTGTCCAAACCTTCCTGGCCCTATGTGAAAAATTAAATCATGAAAGAACTGTGATTAACCACATTATTTTAGAGAGCGGAGTTAAATTTCACTAGCCACACCTAGGCCTGATTACTGCCAGACCTGTTGAATCAAGAAATAATTTAAAAAGAACAGTATGACAAAGTGAAGCATGCTTAAAGAGCAACACATCATGCCACGATCTAAAGAAATTCAAGAACATGTGAGAAACTAAATAGTTGACATGTATTAGTCTGGAAAGGGTTATAAAGCCATTTCTAAGGCTTTGGGACTCCAGCGAACCACGGTCAGAGCCATTATCTACAAATGGAGAAAACTTGGAACAGTGGTGAACCTTCCCAGGAGAGGCCAGCCCACCAAAATTACTCCAAGAGCGCAACGGCGACTCAACCAGGAGGTCCTAAAAGAACCCAGAACAACATCTAAAGAACTGCAGGCCTCACTTGCCAATGTGGCTGAATTAAAACAATTCTGCAAAGAAGAGTGGGACAAAATTCCTCCACAGCGATGCGAAAGACTCATTGCCAGTTATTGCAAACGCTTGATTGCAGTTGTTTCTGCCAAGGGTGGCACAACCAGTTATTAGATTTGGGGGCAATTACTTTTTCACGCAGGGCCAGGCAGGTTTGGGCAGCTTTTTTCCCTTAATAAATGAAATCATTATTTCAAAACTGCATTTTGTATTTACTCAGGTTATCTTTGTGTAATATTACAATTTGTTTGATGATCTGAATCATTCAAGTGCGACAAATATGCAAAAAATAAAAAAACTGGAAGGGGGCAAAAACTTGTTCACAGCACTGTATATCACTATATATATATATATATATATATACACACACACAACAATAATGGTATATAGGCAGATTGCATTGAAAATATATAATAAAAAAAATAATAATTTTATTGCACTTTGATTGTGCCTAATTGTCCCATTACATCCCAAATACCTATTGTGTTTTATTAATGTCCCTATAATATTTGGCTTGATTACCACCATAATTAAAATCCCCACTATATTGCAGTGCATTTAAAGAGTATGGCATGAATTACATGATCTCCCATTTTATTTTTAATGATAATTAAAAAGAAAATTAAACATATCTCTCTCTCTCTATATATATATATATATAATCATAAAATTTTCATTAAAATAATTTCTAAAATTAAAAAATAAACATTTATAAATAAATATTATATTACTACATAATTAACATTAATATTATTTATAAATGTTATTTATATTACTAAAAAACCTTTATTAATAATATTATATTGATATTGAATAAATGAATGAATAAGTAAATAAGCAAGTAAATAAATAAACAAGGACCTAAACGAAACACTGAAATCTCAGTTTATCCACAGATAAAACTAAAGACAATAATGATGCCATTTTGAAAGCATTTTTCACAATGACAGGCAAAGCTCGCGTTGAGCCCTACAGCACGGAGAGGGAGTGCTGTAGCTTTGCGCACAAAATATAGTTATTCGTATTGGTGGAGCTATGTGTTTCTGTGGACATTTTGAAGCGAAAGCATGATTTTGAACGGGAAATCGCAGGTTTGCTTGGGGTTATACATCGCGAGCTCTCGAAGCAGAAACAGTGTGGTGTGATGAGCTTATGTGAGCATTACGCGAGCCATGTCAAGGTTAAATCCGCTGAACGAGCACAGTCCTGTCATTTCACTCTTCATGACAGCGTTCTGCAGCACAAAATACGGTGCATGGCTACTGTACACATAGATATTAACACACATCTTAAAAGACTAACGAGACAACCGCCTGCTGGTTCATGTTGTACCGAATCGATGGGCTAAAGCAAATGGACAACCACCTCGGTTCTATTTTAGGCTTGTGTCTGTTTACCGATGGGCTCAGACTAGAAACAATCACAACAATCACCACTATTTCACGGTTCACACAAATGCTGGAAAATAAATTAATGTGCCACCATCGAGATTCAAGTATTCATAGGGGCTTGTTATTATTAGGCTACTGTTCAAAGCTTCCCGCGTATGCTTGTGCGGTAGCCATATATTAGCACGCTATGAATAATAATGTAAACCAAACACCAGATCTGCATTGGTGCTCAAAGGTGACCGTATCGCCACCTGCTACTGTCTGTAGGCTGGTGGTTATATTGTGGAAAGATGCCAGTGGCTGGCATCAAATTGGAAAGGTTTTTTTTTTTTTTTTGAAAACGAGACAGCTCTTCTCCGGAGCGATTGTTGTTTAATGTTATGTTACATTTAAACTCAGCGCTAATTCTTAATGTCGTATAAGCTTAATTGTTGAATATTTCAAATGGAAGCATATCTTACCCGGGTCGCCATGTTTGCGTTAGAAAGATGCCAGTGGGTGGCATCAAATTGGAAAGGTTTTTTTTTTTTTTTGAAAACGAGACAGCTCTTCTCCGGAGCGATTGTTGTTTAATGTTATGTTACATTTAAACTCAGCGCTAATTCTTAATGTCGTATAAGCTTAATTGTTGAATATTTCAAATGGAAGCATATCTTACCCGGGTCGCCATGTTTGCGTTAGATGCTGCTGCTCGGAAGAGCTCCACACAGCAGTACTAGAGCAGCACTACAGCAGCGGACAGCGACACAGGTGAGAGCTGCGCATGCGCATGGACGCTTCGCACTAGTGATAGCGACTCATTTCTGTGAATCGAATCTTTCGAACATTTCGTTCCAGAGAACCGTTTCAAAAAACGAGTCAGTTGTTCTTTAGGCAATCACGCAGTTAATGATGTCACGGATTGGCGTAGTGCTCTAAAACGTTCCAAGGTCATATTTAGAACATACTGCAGTTTGTTAGGTTATTACAATTTCACGGTCCTAGTTTAGTTTGTTGCAGCCATGACTTAACTCATAAAACAAATCTAGAATCTATATTATTCTTTGTTGATACCAATACGTACAAAATTCGAAATTATTTACATAAATACTTCAATTAACTTGCGTCACAAAACTGAAGACCTTTTGCTTGTTTAAACGTAATAATACCAAAGCGACTTTGTATGTTAATAAAATAGTCAGTTCTACAAAATATACTAAAATGAATCAGTTCATTTGGTTCTCTCCGCTCATTGTGAACAGGACATGGATGAAAGAAAATGATCCAATTCAAATCAAGAACAAAGCATTTCGTTTTGTGAACTGGTTATATATATATATATGTGTGTATGTGTGTGTGTAAACATTAGTCCCAAACTCACAATTGGTTCAGCTGGTTATGAAAGGGTGTTTAACAGACCTCACGACCGAGATGCTCTACCACACAGGGGCATTCACACTTTTCAGGTAAATCTACAAGCACTCTTACTTGCAGTCAACTTAATATTAAGCTGCCTGTGAGAAAAAAAAAGTAATACAAGCATTTATACAAGCACAAAAAAAATCCACAAAATATGCCAATCAGGTGCTCTGAATCCTAGGATCTCATACAGAAGCACTCAGAGTCTTGATCTCTTGGTGACTTTATTATGTTTTTTAGCGTTATAAAAAAGGGCAATAGCATGACAGGCCAGACAGAGGCGCTTGGCAACGGTATGTACAAAGAGGAAGGAGGAGGAAGGGCAGGAATACACAGGCCAGGGAATGACAACAGCTCACGACCCCGTCCTGATGACAGCATCTTATCAGAATTTTTCCACCCAACATAAAAAGTTCAAGTATGCGGTCCACACGAGAGGTAGGCCTGGAGCGAGGCCAGGAGCTTCCTTAGGGGACCGGAGTTGGGGCTAAAACCGTTTGATTGGTGATGCAGGGAATCTTGTCAACAGCTCACTCAACACAATGGCCCCTGGATTGGCAAGGGAACCGAATCATTCTCATATCAGCTTTGCTCTATGAGAGATCTATGTATATACATTTCAAATAGAGTTATAATGCAAGTGAGTTTTTATTTCTTTGAAGATTCCCTGATGGCCCATTAGGCACAGCCAAGATACAAAGAAATGCATTACCAGCAAAGAAAAAAAAAGTGATCCCATAGTAGTAGAAGTAGTTTGTCCATTGAGGAAGGTGGTAAAAAAAATGTCCAAGTGAAAGCCAGAGGACAAAAGCAGGAGTCAGTCCGTTTTGGGGGTGTTAGACCTTTTTTCTGACTTGATGTCTGCATCACATCCCCCTCCCCTTCCCTCAGAGTCCCCCACACTGGCCATGCTCTCAGCTGCGGGGTCCAATGCTCAACCTGCACAAAAGACAGAGCTGAGATCAGCCGAGATGAAAAATGACTCAATGTAATGCCATGTCACTCTGAGATCAAGTATCAATATTATGCACAAAGCACAACATGCACTTGCCTATGTCAATTTCTTGGCTTTGTTGTAGAGCGAGTCCACTACTTTGCTCATGTTCTGAATTGTTTCAAGGGCGGCTCCATATGTTTTGTCTACTGGAGGTTCGTCAAAAACAATCAGGACACCTTCCCCTTGGTCAAGGATTCCTAAATGCATTGAGAAAGCCACATTATAACTCCGTAAAAACACCTGGAGGGTCCACAAATATTTAATTTTATAACATAATACATGCATGTTTGACTAGGGCTGGGTAGAAATATAGACCAAATCATACAGCGCATACAGTGAAGCCCAATTCCTAAAATTTATTGAATTTGTTGTTTCTCTTAAATATTACTAAAAGTTCATTGCACTTAAAAAAAAGGTATGTGAACTCAGTAACTGATTATATCAAGAAGAATGCAAACTGAATGAGTTGCAGCAGATTTTTACCTCCCAGCATGCTTCGCTTTGGACTGTATAAGAATTTATTAAAATTAAATGTTACTAATAGGGTTTTGAGTTAATTTAATTTTTATTAATATATTAATGTTTTTAATTCAGTAACGTTTCATCTACACTAGGTATTTAAGCAGAGTTTATAGTTTAATTTTATATTAAGAAATGAAAGTACTCATAAATATTCATTTTTTTATAATTAAATAGAGGAAATCAGTTTCCTCAAATAAAATCAAGTCATTGGGTTTTACGGTGTATAATTCACAGCAATAGTAGAGAGAATCTTTTTCATTTCTAACTAAATTATACCCAAATAAATCACAGAATCAAATGAAAATCAGAATCAAATCTATAAATCTGCATTTACACCCAGTCCCGTGTTTGACAGCGCACTTATCAAGTTACCAAGACAAGGATGATGGCATACCATGGAATTTCTGGTCTAAAATCATCTGTGACAGTTTCCTTTCAACATCCCCCTGAAGAGATAATAGAAGAGAAAGGATGAGAATTGCTTAAAACAAAACTGCACTCATGGCTGTAAAGGAACAGTGAGAATTTCCTTGCCATTTAAGAGGTTAAGACAGAAGGTAGATGTTTTAATTGCAAATTCAATGGGACGAGTCCTTACCTTGGAGAGTTTTATTAGCTCAGAAATGTGTTCAATCTGTTGGCATAGAAGAACAATTTTAGTGCGCAATGTAAGTGTTTAAAGCACACATCACCTCACACTGAGGTAAACCATGTCATTACCTGCACTCTGGAGAAGGGCTCGATGACCCTTATGAGGTTTTGTTCCAGCAGATTGTCGTAGAGTTTGGCCAGGTGGGTGCTGATGATGGGATCCTCCCGCAGCTCAGCTTTGTACTCTGTTAAAGCCTGAATGCAGATCAGAGAGAAGGACATTAAATAAAATTAAAAAACAGCAGGTGGACTGAGAACAAGGTAACATTTTAAGTCAGAGCATCTGACCCACCTTCTCAAAGTCTGCAAGTGACCTGTTCTTGCTGGCTTGGGCCACACATTTAAGTGCATCCGTCTACAGAAAGAGAGAGACAGGACAAGTTAATCCACATAATCCTCCGCCAACAGACACAACAGAAAAACGTCACCTTGTCAAGCAGCACACAGGGTCAGGTGGTCATATAACATCCAAGGTCATATAACAGTGAAAATGGTTGGATACTATGAAATGTGTGCTGCAGTCTGGGATGGTATTTTAATGTCAGTCTAAGTACCAAGTGAGTTCGCAGGTTCCACCCCAGGCTGTGATTTAATCCTCAATTTTCTATTTTTACACTACTGTTCAAAAGTTTCGTTTTTTTTTTTTTTCAAAAAAATTTTTGAAATATATTTGAACGAGGTCTCTTGTGCTTAAAAAGCTGCATTTATTTGATTAAAAAAAAAAACAGTAAAACCATAATATTGTGAAATATTACTACAATTGAAAAATAACTGTTTTTTTATTTGAATATATTATAAAATGTAATTTATTCCCGTGTTGCACAGCTGCACCATGAGATTGAGCTCAGCTCAGACATCTACCTCTCTGCCAGCATATCTGAGGGCAAGTTTTCCACTGATCAGGGCCTGCACATCCTCTGGCCTGTAAAGACAAAGACATACATGTTTAACGAGTTCAAAGTGTTTAATGAAGAAAGAAAAGAAAGAAAAAGTGAGAGACACTAGAAAACCCCAGGACTCACGAGTTGAGCATGATCTTGCAGAGGAGCATGTACTTGAGTGCAGTGATGGCACGGGGACTGTCAATAGAATCATAGCCTTCAAAAGCCTCATAAAAGTATGAATACGCTGTCTTCCAGTCCTTCTCCTCAGCAGCGTGAATAATGCCTGCAAAGGGAAAAAAAGAAGAAAAAAAAGAGTGTGTGATGCACTCAGTACAATACCTAGATATAGGCATACCCGATACGAGCTCCAAAATTCCCACATTGACAAATCGGGTAAATCCTTATAGTACACACAATCTGTTTTCCCTCCCTTTGCTCAGCTTAAGTAATGCACATAACTATTAATTAAACATTTGCAGGAAGATGGCTCAGTATCGATAATGCAGGATGAAGTATGGCTGCTAATACTGTAATGGTGCGTGCCCACTGATGCAGAGCAAGCGTTTTTAGTTCTTTCCTATAGGAGATGAATTCACACTCGCACAGTGAATTGTGTGATTGACAGTGCACCGGAGCAAGCATTGAGTGTCAAAAAGGTTGGAAAATGCTTGACTTTATGCAAATATCAAGCTAAAATGTTAGGTGGCAGCAAAGCTGTGACAAGCAGATAGTGACATTTGTCATGAGTGTTTAAAATATGCAGTCTGTGCTGGAGTTAGTGTGTAAATTATTGTTTACACATTGGACACTTTGCATTTGTTAAACACTTATACATGTTAACTATTGTAGTTTGGATGCTTTCATTGTGAAATTGACACTGCAAAGTTGCAACTTTCCAACTGTAATTGAGTGCATGTGTGATGAATAATTTGGCTGTGTGTTTAAAAAGACAGATTAAACACAAACGCTCCTGACACACACCAAAATGGAGGTGATATAGCTTTCTGAGAAGCATCGAGCGGAGTTCTGCCACTGTATTGGACATTCACCGTTATTGCAGTGAGCATTTGTGACTGTATGCATGTGTGCGCGCTAACACCGTTTCTATTGATGCATGTGAATGTCTCACTGTTACAATACAAACAAATATGTTCTGACTGGCTGCGATTGTATCGTGTTGCACAGCAATTTTGCTTTCAGTGTGGAAGGACAAATTAGGTGTCATGCCTGGTTAGGGCTTCTGTGGAAACGTACCTGACTGCATGTCAAGAGCAGCCTGCAGCTTTGGGGGGCAGTAGATGGCGTTTGCTGTGGTCCTGGCAGAGGTGAGAGCTGCTCTGGCCTTGGGCAAGTTGCTCAGTGCATGATATGTCTTGCTTTCCAGCAGCTGGAGCTCCACCAGCAGAGCTTTATCATCCATCTTCTTCAGCTCTTGCAGGAGCTGAGAGCCTGATTGACGAGGAAGAAGAGGACAGTGGTTACAGACCGCAAATACATCGCTCAAGCTTAAGAACATGAAAGTGCCGACAACGAGGGAAGGTATTGTCAGGGACTCACCAAGCTGTAGAGCCTCTTGGTAACGTTTGGTGTCAAAGTATAAAGAGACCAGACGGGCCTAAAGGATTGAAGTGACAGTGATAAGACATTCGTTTTTTTCGGCATATCGAACTTTTTAGTAGCACTGACAACAAGACAATAAATAGAACCCAATGTTTGCAAGCACTATCCAAATAGCACTGATATGTGGTTTTAATTCTGATTAAAATCTGATTTGGACAGTGCCTTAGTCTGAACAGTCAGACTGGATTTCAACTCAATTCGTATGCAACATGTACACTACAGTTCAAAATGGTCAGTAAGATTTTTTTTTTTTTTCAAATAAATTAATACTTTTATTCAACAGGGATGCCTTAAATGAATCAGAAGTGACAATAAAGACATTTATAATGTACAAAAGATTTCTATGTTAAATAAATGCTGTTCTTCTAAACCTTCTATTCACCAAAGAATCCTGTTTTAAACATTGATAACATGACATCAGAATATTAGAATGATTTCTGAAGAATTATGTGACACTGAAGACTGGAGTAATGATGCTGAAAAGTCAGCTTTGACATCACAGGAATTAATTAAATATAAAAAATAAATATAAAAATATATTTAAACAGAAAAGTTATTTTAAATTGCAATAATATTTCACAATATTACTGCTTTTACTGTGCTTGATAAATGCAGCTGTTTTTTTTATTAAAATAAATACAGCCTTTACAACTTAAAAGACCTCTTTCAAAAACTTTTAAACAGTAGTGTACACAGCATCACAAAAAAAAAGCACAATATTGTCTGAATTTAAGTTTGAATACACTCATATTCTCTCAAACCTGCCTCATACAGCGAGCTAGTGACAGTCATGTCAAGATCACATGACCAGTCAAATACTAGTCACTTTACCTTGGCACAAACATCAGTAACACATTGTCCAAACTCAACATAAAACAAAAAGTTACAGAGTGCACCTTCTGAAAAAACTACATATAGCAACAGTAATGGTGATGTTTTCTGAAGCCTCTGATTTACAAAACTGGGTGTGCTCACCTCCAGGGCCTGTCGTAGAAAGGTCCTCTTCTCTGATTTGGCCCATTCAATGCACTCCAAACATAACTCCACCTCCTGACCAGTAGCTGCCTCCATGTCCAAGAACATATCGAGCAGAGAGCGCACCAACCGTGCTGCCTTTGCTTTGCTGATGGAGTTCAGGAATGGCCGGACATACTTCAGCAAACCTCCCAATTCTGCAAAATACCAACATATGCGCAATAGACACTAACCTTGAGAAACATGACAGCTGACAGAGTAGTGGCCTTCAAAAACATCGGATCCATTAATATATGTGTATACTGATTGGGCCATGACCCACTAGTTAAAGATGTTTACCAGCAGCTTGTCCAGTCTTGGCCAGCAGTCCGCCCAGCTCCAAGATACTCTGTTCTTTGACACGCACAGCCTCTTCATCATCGTCTTGGATGTCTCGTTTGACTGTGAATGTATATCAAGTAGATAATTGTACTATTCAATTTAATTACGTTAAGCCTAACACTATATTTAAACTCTGTTAGCTTAGACTTTCTGGAGACAACACAGGCAAGTTCATCTTGGGCATCATGACCCTCAATTAAATTATTGCTAGACTTGTGAGCTTCAAAAGCTGTTGATAACAGAAAGGGAACATGGACACCTTTGTAAGAGAGTATTTAAATGTTTGCTTAATTTATAAAAATACATATACGTTTCCTAAAGTTGCTCCAAGATTAAATTAATTCAATCTTCATTAAAGCAAAAGATAAAGGAATGCTTTTAAAGTCTCTAGATTACTTGATGTAAGGTTCATTTAATTTATACTATAATTTACTTTTCTCATTAAATTTGTCTTTTTGAATTTTTTGGATTTATTGTAACAAAGATCGCCTATTTGTTATATAAAGAGGTTTAAAAACGGTTAAAACACTTGAAACATAATATTCTGCAGCAGATAAACCAAAAAAAAAAAAAAACGGCGTGGCATGCTATCAAATTACCCGTGACAAACTAACACATATCAAACTTAATGCCAAACTAAACTTGCTGACATTGACATATTATAGCATAACTAAGCGATAAGAGCGAAAAAAGTATTTGACCACTGACTGTAAATGTTAAGAACCTGTCAGTCATGTTTTAATGACTCATCTGCCACAATGTAGTAGAAATGACATTTCTCATACTTTCTTGACATCAGTTGTCTTTCCACTATGATAAATCATACCTAAATGTCATAATTAAGCAAATAGAATGTCACTAAGGTTAGCTAGCGAAGCTAATTCAGTTGTCGTGCAAAGTTGTGGTAGTTCCTTCAAACGTAAATTAGAAAACATCAGTCATTTCTCTAATTGTACATAATTCACCATACTTAGGAGGCCGATCACCTAAACACAAACATTATGTATCCCTGTTTTTCCAAATAAATTCAGATGATCACTACATTGGGATTCGCGTTCATTGAGAACTGAAGCTAGCTGATTGGCTAACTGTTTACACTGGTGGCAGTTCACTGAAAATTGTATTTTCTACAAGCAATAAAACTACTTTTGAGGACAAAGTCTGAAAGAGCGCAGCATCCCGTTTATAAAGTTAACAGTGAGTAATAGCACAGTGTATTTGTCCAGCTATAGTCTTTTTTCACGCCTGTCACAGTGAGTCAGCAGCATGAAACCGGCTAACACGTTTAGCTGCTGTTCTACAAATCACATGAGGGACATGATCCGTGTGTTAAAAGCACAGTTTCTTCTGCTAAATTAACACAAGCGGTTCAAAAGCCAGCGGGACAGAAGGCGCTTACCTATGGCATGTAAAATGTCAATGGACGCATTCCGATCCGTACTGAGCAGCGACTGTGCTCTCTGAAACTCTACCGCCGCAGCCGCCATCTTACCAATTCACCAATTGCCTGATTCACATTACAATCATCACTGCACACGCTACCGGAAGCGCCGCCGAGGCACGCTGGGAGATTGAGTTCACAGAGGCCGTGGGCTGCATGACCTCACTCCAGGAGGCTGTGCTGGGTTTTGGGTTTAGCTGATCAGAAATACAGTTTTTTACAATCTCGACCCATTTTTTTAAATAAATTCTTCACATAGTGGGCATAATGGCAATCTATGTAGGCTAAGCTAAACTGTGGATCATTTTCAACATGCTTTTCAAATACTTTCAAATACATTTAGTGAGGATATTTTTCAATTTACAGTGGTGGCCAAAATTGTTAGAACACTTGGCATAGTTAAGAGGTTTCAGTTGTTTTTGTTGAATTGGCCATTACAATAGGCTTACCCATAAAACAAACTATTGCTGGACCTGCGACGGAAGGAATCTGCTGGAACATTAATGATTGACTGGCCCCCTCAATGTCCGGACCTCAACCCCATCGAGCAAACTTGGGGCGAGTTGGAAAATAAACTGGACAGATCTATTGTACATTCAAATGAAAGCCTTGAGTTTCAGAAGGCATGGGATAACATTAGTGTTGAAGTTAAATAGGAAATATATTGACACTAGATGTGCTGCTGTAATTGCTGCAAAAGGTTGACATACCAAATATTAAAGTTAAAAGTGGATAAAAACAGTACGACTCACTTCATCTGATATTTGATGTGCTCAGAGCAACCATCTGCATGTTTCATGAACATTATGAAATGAAATCATGCTTTGGAGGCAAAAAAGGTCAATATTTTCAGATCTATCAGGTGGCCACACAGTATATATAGCCTATTCTTTTCTTTTCTCACTTAGACACAGCCACCATGAAAATTCTTCAAACTCAAGTTTGAAACCTAATACCATATTGAAATACAAAAAAATAAAATAAACTCAAAACAATTAGATGTAGAAGCTGGGGTGTTAGTTTAATCAAACTTGAGAACTATTTTGTAGGCTACTGTAATGTAAACATGGACCATTGCTGTAACATTGCTGTGAAATCTAAACATGTCTACATGTCTGAATTAAACATTCTAAAGAGCTGTTTTGTAAAGAAATTTGACAAAAGAACAAAAATACAATTCTACCTGTTGTAAGTGTTTTTAAGTAATTGTTTTATGAGTGACAAAGTGTGTTTTTTGTGCAACAACCTTTGCTAGTGTTATGGAAGAATGACTTGATTTGAGACATGTACAGTATGAAATGTTTTGGTAGTTTTAGTGCATTTTGAATGTGAAATTTACTGCTGTGCCAATCAAAAAAGTTGGTAAGTAGAAGTATGTGAAAACAGTTGTGTCCTAGTGATTGTAAAAAAACAAACAAAAAAAAAACAGATTTTTGACTTTTCATGTAAACTGACTTGAATGCTGAATGCTGAATTTACTTGCATCATGCCAAAATCTATCGATAGATAGATAGATAGATAGATAGATAGTGCATCATGCCAAAATCTATCGATAGATAGATAGATAGATAGATAGATAGATAGATAGATAGATAGATAGATAGATAGATAGATAGATAGATAGATAGATAGATAGATAGATAGATAGATAGATAGATAGATAGATAGATAGATAGATAGATAGATAGATAGATAGATAGATAGATAGATAGATAGATAGATAGATAGATAGATAGATAGATAGATAGATAGATAGATAGATAGACAGATAGATAGATAGAGGTCCTGATTTAAAAAAAGTCAGTATCTGTATACATATTTATCTGTTTTTTTTTCCCCCCGTATGTCTTCTCATCTTAGCATGCACCTTCATTTAATCTGAAGTGCTGTTTCATCAATGACTTGAGGATGGGATAAGCTTAAAACTATTAACATATAAGGGTGTAAAACACTCAGATGGGTCGCCATTTAAGAAAACTATTGCTTACTATTAAAAAGTGAGAGCAGGATGATTGGATAAGCATGAGAGATGGAGAGAGTGTGTGAGAGTGGTGGGTGTGAGAGAGAGATCAGAGGGGGGTGGGGTTGCCCATTCATGTCACTGCGCCACTGAGGTCTACAAAGCCTCGGCGACGTTACTGCACATCAGGATTTAAGTTCATCTGTCTCGAGCGTTGTGTGTGAGACTTTCCACACTCTCTGGGCCTTGATTATAGACTGTAATCTGTCAACAGCTGGCCCGTCATGCAAAAACAGGGCGTCTAAACTAGTTAAAAGTCTACCTTCCATGTTCAAGCTCAGGAAGCGCTATAACAGATGCTGGTGCTGTGGACAGCGCACGCATGAAGCATGGACAGATAACCAGAGGGAGCTCAGCCACCCATCTGAGATTCAGCATCTCCACGAGAGAGCACCAATGCCCCCCTCTCTCTCGAAAAATAGCGGTCAATGAACGCAATTCATTGACTTCGCTGGCACGGATCTTTATTTTTACGCATTTCCAGTTACACTCAAGCCTATAGCGTGTTATTCCTCCGCCTGCGCAGTTCAACAACAAGATCACAGACGGGCAGATGTGAAACAGACCCGAGATTGATTGTGATGAACGAGAAACAACAAAATTGCCCCGTATCGAGGGTTTATGTGGGAAGACGTGGCGTGCATCTGGGAAGTAACTTTAGCAGCCGGAGAATCCTGAACCCTGCATAGTTTACGTGGAAGCATTATTTCATCGCTGACGTCCCATTTTCAGAACCTTGGACAACGACGAGCACGTTCCACAGTGCGACACGCTGAGGAAAAAAGGGGATAATAGACGAATATTTCTATATTTACCTATTCTTCTTGTTCTATATCTACATTTATCACCGCGAGGAAGACGTATTGATTAGTAAGTAAACAACATTTTATGTATATAACCTATTTATGCTGGTTTTTGAATCAAATGATGTTCATTTCAAAAACGCTTTTGAAGGGTTCGCTTTAAATTCAGTCGCAAAATGTGAAGAACTCAATTGTACCTTGCACACGAGCCCATCGTTATAAAGATGCTATCTTGATTTACGACTGCTCGTTTTGTCTGAAGCGTGATGTTCTCATTTCCTCGTGTTGACCCACTAAACATTTTTAAGAGCTCGATAAATTATGAGTTCCAAAACGTGCTAAAGCTTAAATGTAATAATTTGTGAGTCAGCTATCAATTTCCAATTTGCACCGAGAGGGATTTTTCTTACAAATGGATATGAATTGGGAATGAATTACATTCTCGCCTTCCATTTTGAAGCTAAGATGGATGCTTTTGTATATTCTGCTGAATCTCCTGGTGAATCGCATACCAGCGGTACAGTTCAGTAAAAAAAAGAGAAATCTACCTGTGCATGTATCAAACAAATGATTGTAATATTTTTACATTTGGTTTTCTAGACATATTATACAATATATATAATTCATGCATGTTTTGCACGTGTGTGTGGATTAAGTGGTGATGGTGGTTTCATCAAAATCATAGCTTATTTAGAACAGTATTGTGTCTCTAAACATTCATATTTATTTATTTTATGGGCAGATTCTGTATCTAAAGACCCGGTAATAATCAAGGCAACATGGGAACTGTACTCTCAGTCTCCCCAAGCTATCGAAAGGCAGGCCTGTTTGATGAAATACCACCCCCTCTGGCACATTATACAGCTGTGCAGAACAGTAAAAACGCCAAGGACAAGAGCTTGAAGCGTCAGTCGCTCATCAATGTCCTGCCATGGAAGCGCATCGTGGCAGCTTCGGCCAAGAGAAAAGGTTCTAAGAAGCTGGCCTCTGGGGACAGTCAAGATGAAGAGAGCGTGGGCACCCTCAACAGCCAAAACCTGAAGAAGTCCCAGTCCTGTGCCAACCTCTCCGGCTTCACCCAGGAGCCGGCCGTGAGCTCCATTCCCACATCGAAAACCACCGCCAATGTGGCCTCCACTGTGAAGAGGACCTCCATCACTGGATCGGTGGGCCAAGCGACCAATGCAGGCACACCCAAAAGAGTGATCGTGCAGGCTTCCACCAGCGAGCTCCTGAGGAGCCTGGGCGAGTTCCTGTGCCGACACTGCTACCGACTGAAGCGCCTCTCCCCAGCCGACCCTGTTCTGTGGCTGCGCAGCGTGGACCGCTCCCTTCTGCTGCAGGGCTGGCAGGACCAGGGCTTCATCACCCCGGCTAACGTAGTCTTCCTCTACATGCTCTGCCGTGAGGTCATTTCGGCCGAGGTGTCCAGTGAGCGCGAGCTACAGGCCGAGCTGCTCACTTGCCTCTACCTGTCCTACTCCTACATGGGAAACGAGATTTCATACCCGCTCAAGCCCTTCCTGGTGGAGACGGATAAGGATGCATTCTGGAATCGCAGTCTGGCGATCATCAACCGCCTGAGTAGTAAAATGCTCCAACTTAACTCTGACCCACACTACTTCACGCAGGTTTTCTCTGACCTGAAAAACGAAAGTCAAAAGGAGGAGGAGAGCCGGCTGCTTATAGGCCTGGATCGATAAGTAAGGCGCTTGTGCATAAACAGAAAAAGAATGTGCATAAAAAGTTTGTGCACAGAAAAAAAAACATTGTTTTATTTTTTACAAAAACACTTTAGTGTCATTAGTATTAAAAAGCTTCAGAGCATAGTTTTGAAGCTTATTTGTAGCAATGAATGCGACTAGATCGGCCATTCTAAGGAATAGTTCTCCTACAAATAAAAATGTGTACATTTTTACTCATCCTCAGGCCACCCACGATGAGATGAGTTTGTTTCCCTTGCTCACTAATGGATACTCTGCAGTGAATGGGTGCCGTCAGAATGAGAGTCCAAATAGCTGATAAAGACATCACAGTAATCCACAACTCCAGTAAATCAATTAATACAATAAAAAGCTGTGTGTTTGTAATAAACAAATTCATCATTAAGATTTTCATCTAAAATACGAGTCCTCTATTCATATTATTGCTTTCTCCAGTGATCAAGAGAGGAATCAGGAGAGAAACATGCACAAATAAAGCACCATTTACAAGCGAAAACTGTTCAAAACCATTCTAAACAAAGATGCTAGTGGATTGATGTGAGATTTTGACTCATTATGGACTCTCTTTCTGATGGCACCCATTCGCTGCAGAGGATTTATTGGTGAGCAAGTGATGTAATGCTAAATTTCTCCAAATCTGTTTCGATGAACAAAAAAATTCATCTACATCTTGGATGGTCTGAGGGTGAGTAAATGTTCAGTACATTTTTATTTTTGAGCGAACTATTCCTTTAAGATCTGACCAAGGTGCAGGACAACACCTTGCCAACCGACAAGGTGTTCATTGA